TTGTTGGCCCGTGGCGGTACCCATCACGGACATCTCTAAGGAGAAGGTAGTACACAAAATGGTCTAACTGGATCGCGCATTATGGAGTACTATCCAGCATAACAAATGATCGCGGAGCGCAATTCGAATCGACGCAATTGCGAGAGTTAACTAATACTCTCGGAGCCAAGCGAATAAGAACAACCGCGTACCACTCAACAGCGAACGGGTTAGTCGAAGGTTTCCATCGCAATCTCAAAACTTCTTTGATGTCATGTACTGAGACAACGCGTTGTTTCTAGTAGGTCTTCGAACGACACCGAAAGCTGATTTAGGTTGCTCCGCCGCGGAGCTGGTATACGTTACCAAGTTAAAGCTTCCGGTTAACTTCGTTCAACCAATCGACGCCAACGGTGTAAACCCCACAAAATTTGTTCACCGCCTACGTTCATCCGCGCGTGAAATGCATTTTAATGCCACACACGCACATGTGCCGAAAGACCAGACAACTTGTTCACACGTGTGATTATGAAATGATGCGGTCCGCAAACCACTACAGCCGCCGTACGAAAGACCATATAAGGTCTCTAGAGCAGAAAAGTACTGTAAGATCAACAGGAATGGCAAAGTCGATGTGGTTCCTGTACCCCGTCTTAAGCCAGTGTAGCTCGAACAACGTGGCTAAAAGCAATCAACAGGTCCTCAAAACACAATAAGTATGCAGCAATTATCGAAGCTTGTTGAAGTGAACCCCCAACGTTACCAACTAACGACAAACATTGTGGATATAAACAAACTTGTTTATGATACCCCGCTAGGCTCCAGACTACTGCAGCCGTAAATCTACTAAGAATAATTGTTATAGTGGATTCCAACAGCCAAAGACAGTTCCATGTCTGGCGACGACATTAGCCTATCAGGGAAATTTGTTTTGACTCCCCTTCCAAAATTAGCATACAATGACAAACCTGATCCATCGATCATTTTCCACCTGCAATTCACCTAGATTGCAAGCATTCCATTTTGCCGCAGAAACCTACGGGATATATTAAGAAACAACGGATTTTTCCCAACAAACTGCGATCGATGTGTTGCTACAAGTGTGCTACTACTTGAGCACGCATCGCTCAATCGAGAATTTATTTATTTCTAGTCCCTATGTTGAACAGTTGCTGTACTGGGATTACACCGAGATCCTTAAAACCCGCAGGATGCCTGAACCGACGGATTACTGCATTAGACAAACCACCGCCCGCTTACATACTGCGCCCACGTTTCCAACAACTGTGGGTAATATCGGGTGATCTGTCACTGGATAAAGCACCATCTGGCTATAGACTTAAAGACTAATAGCTCAGGTGGTTCAGATGGCGGTTGAACTGTTCGCTAAGCTTGGAAATTTTGTTGCAAACGTTGCGTCATCAATCGATGTGACATCATTCGTGGGTAGTTGAGTGGCGTACAGTAGCGTAGAGTAGCCTCAGTGAGAGCGCGCTCAGCGTGCGTTTTTATACCGCCGGGGTTGGCTATGGTGCCGAGCAATCTTATTGGTTGGGACTTCGATCCGCGTTCAGCTTGGTTGATGGGCAGATGACCTTTGACCTCACCTCCTTGGGTTGCGTGGCCTTTGTCTACTTGCTCTTGCGAGCGAGTCTGCCGTCAGTTCTGATTGTCTAATCACACGTTCCAACGAATTCAATCGATCGGGTTGGCGGTCGTTCATCAGTAATGTGGCGTATACTGCGTCGCGTTCTACGTCGATTGACTGAACGCCCGGTAGAGTACTATGCTTCCAAAAACTCCCTCGCGTGTTTTGTACTTCCATGTGCTAGGATCTTTACACTCGCCAGGTCGAAATGGTGGCCTTCTTGGTCTTCATGCGCAGAAACCAATGAGTATGGATCGTGCCTTATGACGGTCGTCTCGTGTTCGGTGATTCGCGTACAAAATTTGCTTCCCGTTTGTCCGACAAACTTGTTATGTGGTCCCAGAACACAATGTTGGTAAACTGGGGATCATTGCCACAAACCAATCGAACGGCCAGTCCCTAATTGGGGAACCAATCGCTCATTTCATCAAACATCGCATTCGTTATCGTGTAGGTGGGTGCATAGTTAAAGAAACAAATTTCTAAACAACTGCAACGAACAGTTCTGTAGAACAAATCCGCCTGGGGCTAACTTATACAACATCATTGGGAATACAGGGTTCCATTGAAGAGTTTGGCAGCAACATTCCATGCACTAACAATGTCCGTTTAACTAGACCGCGGCAAAGAGATGTAAATCGTCGCTAAAAAGTCATCGCACTTTGCTTTAATTTACATAAAGGAAATTTTATGTAAACAAATCAACGCTCAAATAGCAGGGATGATCCAGTTTATGAATGAAGAAGAATAGGGACAGAGCAATTAGTTACCAACACAAAATCAGCACGCTTTCCCTGTGAAGAGACTTTCAGTCCAAACGCTCCGAGTGGCTCTCCCTAAACCATCCTCATACTTTGCCTTGAGTAACTAACATTCCACAACTATTACATCGCACCCTTCCATTGCTCATGCATCAGCATCACACGCTAATATTACACATACAAGAGCGTGATTTGAGTCCACGCTTAGTGCTCAAGAGCGAGCGATAGTTTAGGATGCAACCTCTACAGCCGCAACTGATCGCGATGTGATTGATCTACCTCCAGGACTGGTCTGCGGGTGGAGGGTGCCAGGTCACTCTTCTGCGGGTGCTGTACCCAAAGTTAGTGCACGCAATAAAGAGACGCGCATCTTCATACAGGTGTAGCAATCGCGCATCATTATCGTTATGTGACCCTATACCATACTGGCCGTGCAGATGAAGCTCATTAGAGGAAAATTTCCCGAATTTAAGGTTTAAATTATCAGCAAGCACCACAATATGCGGACATTTTCTATCACGAAGAAGACAGTAAAGATGGTGATAGAAATCACCTATCAAAGAATCACTGTAATAGTTTGTGGGCGCGTATGCATCAATGGCAAACAGGTACCGCTTGTCCCCACGCAACTCCCAAGTTTGCAACAAGCCTGCCAACTTATCGGCGCATATCTGGCTGACTATGGTTGGCGGCATCCGGTTCCTGATGTGACTGTCATCGTGGCCTCCAAGGGGATAGTCACAGGACGAATGCACATAGAGGGACCATAGGTGGATTGTGCTGCACCACCCAGTTCTAACCACACTCCATATGCAGTGTAAGCACGAAGGAATAAGACCGGTAGGCATATGGATGGGAGCCATGTTTTATCAAAGGAGCCGGCCCACACTTCTTCACAGCAGACATAAGAACGCGAAATTTGGGAATCAATCGCACACAAGACGGTGGCTGGACCGTAGTCTCGGAAGTCTTGTAAACCATAAGGACACTGGTTGGCGCTTCATCGGGAACCGCACAAAGTAATTTCGTGTCCTAAGGTAAATGTGATGCATTTGTCTTCATGATCCTAGAAGCAAAGGAGTTGCGGTCGATTATGACATATCGGAAGGAGGAGAAGGATAGAACTATGATAAACGGACTTATCGAGTGCCTTATACGAAGATAAACAGAGATCACATATTTAATCGTAAATTGGTAAAGCTACGCTGCTGATGGAACACGTTCGGTAATGATAAGGAGAGGCGCAACTTGAGTGACCCACGCGTCCAACTACTCGGATAATGTGAAAAATAGAATAAATCCTTTGTGTCAAAACGAGAGACGTTAGAACGCAACACGCTAATAATGTGTGAGTCCTCCATAACCGCCAAAACAAGGTACAGAAAATATATTTGTTGGGACAGGTCAATATTCGCAGTGATATACATGGTCGATGTTGGACGTCCTGCTGTTGCGGGCTTGGCGCATATCGCCCTCACCGTGATTAAAAATTAGCTAATGTCGAATGAGTGAAAGCAAAGATTGAAAACGTTCACCTGAATTATATTCTTATCATCACAAAGAAGAACATTCCAGAAGTCGGAGTGGCAGCCCGTATCAAACAAGGAACACAAAGCGAAACAAATGCCGCCATGCTGACGCCGATGCAGCGTGAACATGACCGCACCAGCAAAGAGCACCTCTGTCAAACCGACTAACGATGCAAGAGACAGGAAAGCGGGAAACCGGAAGCCGCGCAGACGACGAGGCATGATCAACGAATAAATGCAACGGCAGCGAGCACAAAAAGAGTAGACCAGCTAGAGGGAACAAAAACGTCGCACACGAAAGCAACTGTTGCAGGCGGAAGGAAACCCCAACCAGATGTTGCCACAGTGTGCACAACAATGTGCCTCAATCAAGCTCGTATTCAAAGTCGATGTCGAATACACGAGTAGAAAATTAAATGTGTGAAATTCCACACAACTAAAGGATGACGCTTACAACTTCTCTTCCCAACCCCACTCCGTGCAACGGAAAATGAGGCACAAACACGGCAACACAGCCCCAGTTGGAGAAAACAAATGCGTGGAAGTTTGCTGTCACACACTGGATGCGTATTCCAAAGTGAATCACGACGTGTGGATGTGCTAGATAAGTACCTTAACAAGAGGAATACAATATGCAATGCCATGAAGTAGGAAAACGAATCTAGTTTAGATCGCACACACCGTTTGTAATGGTCGTGTCACCGAGCAGATGAACCGACGGAAGAGACGCAGCACAACGAGCAGGGGAATTCGTTGTTGGCTCGCTTGCAGTGGCAGTTGTGTGAACGGGGTGACACAGGCAATAACAATTTGGATTGAAAACCAATTAGAAGTGAACCAAGACCAGTACGGTCACCAGCACTGAGCTCCCAATTAGTGACCGTCCAGCAAACAGATCAGTATACACAGTGGCTGATTTGGAAAGCTGAACACTGCATGACTCTGAGTCGTGAGAGCAAAGAAACGGAGAGCTGGTGCAAGCAATGTGGCTGAACAAACGGAAGCTATGTGACATCACATAAACGATACCACAACTCAAGCAGTAAAGTCAAACATAAGTGACGATAACAATATAGTACTCACCCGAATGAACTGACATCAGATGAAGTCGCAAATGGGAATTCTGAGAAAACGATTTGCCACACTGATCACATGCGTAGGGGCGCAGTGCTGAATTCGGAAACAAAACGTGCACAGCCAAAGAGGAAGAACATGAGGAAACCAGTCACAGAATAGTGGATAATCAGTTAGAATAGGAGCACAAACTTTATAGTGTAGCATAAACATGAGCACAAATAAAAGAAAACACGATTCGCCGTGTAAGCTAACGGCTGTTGATGCAGGATCATCTCGAGACATGAAAACGACGCCTAATAGAACGTGGCGCCTATATTATTCATCGCTGGCGAGATGTTCTATGTTCTGACACATTACAACCGGTGAATGGAAATGGTAGGCGCCTCACCAGCACCATACCCGCAAGCAACAGGAAATACAGCCGTCGCCGCAGCGCGGATGAAATAAAACGCATGATGAGACAAATAGCCGAAACTCTTCCGCTAACACCTAATCGGCTACAGGGTTTATCTCTCGGATTCAACCAAACACTGAGACTGTCAATAACAAACATATCCTTCCATGTTAAATATTCTTCACCTCCAGATGGACAAGCACAATCGGTTTGCCGATTTGTCATTGCCGAGGACCTAATGCGATCTCAGCGCGATCGCGTGCATCGAAAAGAGTTGGTTCCCATGCATATCATTCTATGTGGTGTAGAAAGAATTGTGGCGCCCGTCCATCAGAGCCTTTCATCCTAACTCCGTGAGTGTGTCCGATTTCAATCCAGCTCTCTGGTCCTAAAACCAACCCCGTGTGCCACATCTGCCTCCAACATGATTCACTGCAAAATCGGTCAACTCCATACTATGTTCACGATCATCAAACAGGCCTGCACTCCGAAAATTAATATCACCATGTCATCTGTTCCATAGATGACCCAGTAAGAGTGCTGAACAGGGATTCGGGTATACCTCATAACTGGCAGCGCCAAGTGTACATCGATGATCTCCGATTGTCGAAAACCAACCAGCCCATCCATAGCCATGCAGCTCACCCAAACTAGTTAGGCAAACAAGTTAGGTAAATCATTCAAAGTGATTTTTAAATACCGCACAATCGATCAAAGTGCGTTTACTTCAATCCATTGAGGCCATCGCAATTCCGCTGTACAAGTGTCAAATACGGTTCGCTCAAATGTTAAGACTGCTACGACTCACTACCATGGGATGTCTGCAGCATGGGATTGTGCGCCCGTAGTAGCTGCGACCTAAAGGACAGCAATTGTACTCGATCAGTGATTATGAACTGAACGTAATTTACCAAAACTTGCATTGTCTTACCAGTTTGTCCTTCTCACACATAAATGTACAAGGTTGTAGAAGGCTTGTGGAAAACATAAGTTCCATGAATGGACCTCCAATCGTTCAAGTAAGTATCGCTCATGTTCGTTGCAACTGGCGAAGCCAGCTGTTCTGTGTGCGTAACGAAGTATGCTGACGTTCGAGTTGAGTAAGCGCTCACTGAACACAGTTGAACATCGATGGTCGCAAGTTCACCAGACCTTAGTAGCAGCAGTCAAATCCTCATGTGGTAAATCGCATTGTCAACTTGGACATTGGGTCTCATCACGGTTTCTGGAAGTTATCGATGCTCGCCAGCACATTCCGGCTGAAAGCGAACACAACGAGACTCTCAAATACACCACGGCAAAAATCCGTGCTAGGTTGAAGAGAGACTGCGAATCCTGGTGGTCTCTTCTTGCATCGTAAATGGAAGCAGCCCCTGGCTTGGTAACCACAGAAAATTATTCCGGCTGAAAAAAGACTTGATGTTAATGAAATTATAGGTGACGAGAGTGGACAGCCTATCCACAACTTTTTAAAACATTTGGAGCGTTGGATTGGACACGTTCAGAGGTAATCTAATCGCTAGAAACTGGCAGATTTCCCGTCTTGCAGTCTGGGCCGTCTTTTTGGATCCGCCCAATCGCTAAGAAGTCGAACATGAGATAGGAATATTGAAATTGAAAAATGACACAGGATCAGATGATCATCCTACAGGCTTCTTGGAACGCGGGGGACTAGCTCTTGTTGATGGTTAACCGGAGTTATTAGTAGAACTATGGGCGTAGGAAACTGCACCAACCAGATGGAACGGTCTGGTACTCACGAGCATAAAAGGAAATCTGACGTACGAAGAACGGCAATCACCGAGGAAACTGTCCCCCAAAGCAGTCCAGGAGTTAGCGGTAGTTCAACTGGAATGACCGCTGGATGGATAGAATGCGGCACACTGTCACGACAAGCACCTTGCATATCGATGAAGTGAATCTCAATCATTCCGGCCACACAATCCAACAGGTTCATCCGTTTTACAACACTGTAGTCTACATGGAAACTGGACCACTCTGCTCTTAGCTAATGAGTACCATAACCTGAGAAACGTCGTGCACTGCTTCTTACACCAAAAATACACAATATATCCGACCACGGTAAGAAGAAAAATGGAAATCAAATGACGATATCAACTACACACTCACCAAAATGAACCGAGTCGACATGCTTTCGCAAAGTGGTTTTCTTAGCAAACGACCTGTCGCAGAGTTCACACGAATGGGGGCGCTGATCTGGATAGGGAACCAAAAGATGCTTAACGACAGAAAGTTTACGGTAAGAAAAGGTCGACAAAACAGTGACATATTACAATTGGCGCATACGGGCTACGGCAAGCCAAGGTATTCGTTGTAGAAAAAATGACAGGATTTGCTATGCGAGACAATGGATGACACTACGCGATAATCCTGTAACAAGAGACAGACACCTAGAAGACAGAATGCGATGCATCCTTGGCAATAACGCTGAGGTGCATAACATTATGGCTAGTACAAATAACCTAAACCGAATGGATGAAATTTCACTAGAACGAAGAAAATATCCAATAGAAGAAACAATCGGCGCACACTGGTAACTAAACCTTGTAAATTCTACATAGAGTCACTATGGTCAGGAGCCGATCGGAAGCCTCACGTCACCTCGGATCCAGCTGTCCATCCCAAGCAGTAACTTGGAATAAATGGTAACTTTCTAAACTCCATCCGCCAACCAATTAGTAACTACGGCTCGAATTACTGCTCCAAGCTGTCATGACTATTAGATCCGCCTTGAAATCGTGAGCGGTAGGATGACCAAAGCCCACTCGGTTTTGTATAGCACGTTGTTAACCAGTAGCAGTCGAACACCCACGGTTCGCTGCACCCGAACCCAACTGCACACCACCAGTCCAGACAGTAGAACTTTTAAAAGACTGTGCTACCGATGCAGGCAAGATCAGTACAAGGAAACAATCCCGTAGTCGATAATTATGGTAATGAAGCAGGACTCAAAAATGTCAGCGATACATGCATAAGACTTCTATGGCTTATGCTGGACAACCCGTGGGCTGAACTCAAACGTACTGAGTGGAACAGACTATTGAAAACCGCCAACTAGCTTACTGCGGTGTCACTCTGAGGCACTCATGGTGAGAATGAATAGTGACAAGCAATACGGATATACCGATAAATGGACGCACATCGAAAACCCAGTTGGTTTGTATCGATCATGGTAACTGAAACGGTTGTCTTTTTCTACCACAGTCTAATTCACGTGCAAAGTATATAGGTGTTACAAACCCTAAAAACCTAGAGATAAATCAGTAAAAATGTTAGTTAGCCTTGTAAAAACAAAAACACTTGCAAACTTCTGTGTGTATAGCTCAGCCGAAAGCATTGTAAAAACAAAAAGGTGTATCCTATGCAAATTCACCTGTCATGGAGCGTCAGTTACGAAAACGTAAAGCAACTACCAATCTATACCTCTGAAATCCCTTAGCTCCTAATGTCCGTAAACGTGTCGCATGTAAATGTTCAGCAAACGTTAGTGATCGTGTATCCCCAACGACTCACAGAATCATAGTATTAGAGGAATAGTTAAATGAACAAAATGAAAAGACTTCGCGGCTGAATTTGGTCGCGGACAGCCTGATTTCTGTTTCCAATTTAATTGACTCACCAGCTAAAGCGCAGGCACATGAATGGGACAATGAACTACTTTCTGTAACGTCTGAGTTAACTGAAAGATGCAAGCGTGTCAAAAACGCTATAATCCTCAACATGCCGAACGACATGAAGCTTACAACTATCAGGAATGCGGCAGCAAAGAAATGCAGCAGCAAAGAAATGCAGCATACCAATAAATGAAATTATCCGCAAAATATTAAGGAAAATTCTTTGCATTATCCATAGCAAACGCATTTCCGACTCAGTAGCGAACATGTTAATTGTAAATCAAAAACACTGTGAAGTTTATTCCGAGATTTCACAAGGTGGTCACTTTTGAAGACAGAACCCCCCCCCCCAAACGTGAAGTTCACCACCCTGGATTTACCGGAACATCACCAAAGCGCATGAAAAGCATTCCACCTATTCATCGTTGAAATCGTAAAATGAGATAGCACGCGGTGCAGATTGCATCGACCCGTTAGGCAGCACCGTCACTTCGACAATCCCGTAGCCAACAATGAGTCTCCAAATGTTGTGGAGAAAATTAATGAGAGCATTACCGGGACACAAGATGTCGTCACATGCTCGGATGCAGAGATGCAGTCTGAAATTCGTCCATGCAGCAAGCATGAAGCAGATTACTATCTAAAAGCGTATGATCGTCCCAAACCGATGACGAAACTGTTCCCGATTGCTTCACGGGGGATGAAAGTCAGTGGGATTAATGCAAGGAAAAGTAAACTCATATCAACGTATGACAGAGGTGCAGACAGGGAGGTATTACGCCGAAGTAGAATGCATGCAGTGGACTGCATACATTCGCTGAAACATCTGAGGTGGTCCAGTCATGGGTGCCGTATGGCTACGAGGTGAATACCGAAGCAACTGTTATATGGCCAGCTGAGTGTGGGCAAGCGGCATGTGGAGAAACCGAAACTTCATTACCAATGTTGATTTCAGGAGCAGGGAATCGAATGCGGTTAATCAGCTGGCATGGCACGATCTGATCATGAAGACAGTTGCCGAGGCGTAAGAGAAAGCCTACGGGAATGCGGAGAACAAGCCGCAG